TGTTTTGTGTGTCTGAGATAAAACCTGTCAAACAGTGGAGGTGACCCCAACAGGATACGGGGCATCTCGCACGTGTCTGGACAAGACCTCGGGGCAGAACTGCAATAGTGTGATATACCCTTCAAAGACAAACTCATTATAGTATTTCATCTGCGTCTTAACCCCTTCTTAACCCACTACGGGCTGTATACATTGTGGTGTCATAAGGTGGCGTTGCACAGCAGCTCAAATAAACACGCTGCATACGTGATGCAGTCGTCCGTGTAAATCAAATTGTTCCAGTCTCATTAGTTTAGCCCCCTGATTTACGGATGTCATCACAACCCGATGCATTTAAGCCTACTCTGTTGAACAATGTCTCACTATGTAGATGATTAAATGATAAACGAGAAACCACCCAGTTTAACATAGCATGTTAAGATCTGGAGAGCATCAACAGGTCTGGGTGCAACAACGTGACTTCGAGTAGTAGAAATAAACGATATAAATGTAAATCACACATGCACTATTATGATCTCTATCTTTAGTGCAGGAATTTATATTTCCTGTTGTTTTTTTTTTCTGCTGGCTGACCTTGAGTCCAGTTCTGCAGGTGAAGATGGCCTGGTAGAGGAAGTGGTTTTGCTTTTTTTTTTTTTTTTAATTAATTTGCCAGTTAAAAAGCAGGGTTTTATTACTCCCTAAGACTGTACATGTACCAGCTGGGGCTCCAAGACATTGTTTAAAGTCCTCCTTGTTTTTTTAAAGAACAGCTTGGTTTTATCCTTTTATAACACTCTTTTAATGCATAGTCCTAGATGTTTGCACAGTATTTACCAACATCTCACGTCTAATCTAAACTCAGGCGTCTTTTTTGTGGAGCCAGGTTTTTGTGTCTCACTGCATGGGGGCTTAGGGCTGAGGTGTTTGCATCTGCAGGTTTTAATCCACCGTCCAGCCACTGCCTGGGAGGGGGCACAGACTGCTTGGTAAGATGAGGTGAGACGGCTGTGATTAAGGCCAGAGAAACTGACAGGAACGTGTCTGTCTGTGATGGAAGAAGTTTTTCAGAATTGAGGAAAGTTTGGGAGTTTGCTTTATTTTATTAAAAAATAAACAGTGACCAAAAACTGTTTGGCCACTGTGGTGTTCTTGGTCCTTGGTTCTTGGTGTTCTTGTGGTGTCTGATCAAATTTATTTTAATTCCCCGATCTTTGTAAGGACATTAGCCCTACCCCTTTACACTTGGTATTATTAGAAAGCCACTTAATGTCCTCTGTAGATATCAAAGGGAGGTGATTCAGTAGTATACAGTGGGTGGGAGATATTCAGGTTTACAAATGGCCTCCAGAGAGGACAAATTTTAACTACACGTAGTCAGAAGGATATGATATACACACACTGTTGTATTGTGTAGATAAATATTTAAAGATATGTCTGCTAATTAAACTGGGCTTCTAAACTAACTTATTTTCTTTCCATTCCCACCTTTAAATGTTTATCAGTTTAAAATGGACTCTGTAGTACACATACCTTCACATAACCCCCTTATGTAACACGTATCATTACAGATGTGTCTGACTAGAGGTCTTCATTAGCATTTTTAAAAGAAATGTGTGACCAAGTTACAGAATGGTACTTGGATAAAACAACAAAGTTTCTTAATTTACAAACACTAATATTGTAGTACACATACCTTCGTAAACTGCTAAATACATAAATATACTAAAAATAAACTGAGAGGATGCTGAGGAGCTAACGCACATTCTTATATTGAATCTACTTGGTGAATTATACATAGGTTTTGGTACTCTCTGACATTTATTGTACTTGCTTTACTTACTGTGATCCTACTGAAGTATTGTATTACTATTATTTGTTGTACTTTAGTACCTCTTATTTAAAGGTTTCCTGTGTTTTCCTGAATATTACACCCCTGATATCATTTATTGGATGTCTGCTCCATCCTGATAAGGGACTCAAAAGGAAGTTGTAGTGTGTGATGAGTTCCTGTAAAGTTAAGGTTTCTGAAGGACCAAAGGTCGATAGTCAATACATGGAGGAAGAGGATGCAGATCCTATCACTCCGAAGAATGAGGATACGGCCATTGAATCTGTCAAAAACGTTGTAGGAGACTTGGAAAGCAAAGGTGTTGTTAATGGAGTTTTCTCCAACTTTTCTTTTCCTTAGTTTCTCTGGTTGTTTCTGAAAGTCATCAGCAGAATTTGTGGGCAGTTAAACTCCTGGACGCTCCTGGGAGGCAGGAGTGTTCCCGGGCTCCTGCGTGCTCCCTCATTAGTTTTAGGACAGTAGTTCAGCTCTTTCTTTCCTGCGTTGAGACCTTGGTGATGAAGATAATGAGGTGGAGCAGGCAGTGGATTTCTAGAAAGGATCGGCAATTGGGTGCTTAGACACCCTCATTGAGTGTTGTTTGAAATAGCAACGTGGGTGTGTGTGTTGTGTCCGTTGTGTTTGAGACTGGGGGCTGCTGCTGCTGCTGCTGCTGCTGCTGCTGCTGCTGCTTCTGTAGTTGCTGCTGTTGTAGGGGGAGGAGCACTTTCACACATACTGATACTTTGCTGATCAAGTAACAAAGTGACCCATCAAACAGGAAGACAAGACATAAAGTCACGCACCATGACCGGTCCCCCACGGTCCCCACGGCCACATACTGCAGCTCTATCAGGCTCCTCAAGCTGCCCCTCGTTTCCCCCCCTCAGTCCCACACCAATAAAACATTACCATTCTGTAATGTTCTGCCAACTTTCACACCCGGACCGTCATTATCCATGAGCACGCGAGAAACCGTTGTCGTGCGGAATGCAATCTCCATCTCCCTTGTTGCTCCTGTCAGAGCGTTGTCTTATCTGCACCCTTTCACACGTCAGCTTCCAAGGTCTACAGCCTTTCTCTGTGCGAGCTTCCACAGTAGTCGACAGCTACGTTAGTGTATGCAGTACGTACATGTGCCATTTCTGTAATGTTTTGACAGTGTTTTCAAGTTTGATTTCAATTTCCTTTTCATGTTCACAAGGTTCAAGAAGTCAAATTAGTGACGCTTGCAGTGTATGATTGCCAAAAGAATAGATAGATGGATAGATGTTCTCTTTATCATGTATCTATCGATAAGAGGCCATGATAAAATGAAAAATTAACCAAACAAGTACAGGACATTTGTAAGCCAAAGATAGCATTTACAACTCAGCTGTCGGACAAGTTTTTAAAGACACTTGAGTCGGAACAGCACAAAAAAAAAATCGAACCTCCAATTTGTTTTGACCAGGGAAGTCAAGTTTTACCTAGAAATGTTTCTGATTGTTTAAAGAAAAACTTCATATATTACATAAATAAGCAATTTACAACAGATTCAAAGACAGGTAATCGAATAATGATGACATTTGGGGAGTTGATTAATAGTTTTGTGATAAAGACTGGTTCTGTAAGTACGGGCTGATCACCTCCTGGGGGGGCGTAATGACTTCCCCAGCTGGCCCCCTGGGACGACCGAGCTCGTGCTCTGCACCTCTCCTGCCCGCTTTAAGCCACCGCTGTGTTTGTTTAGGGAAGATTAGCAACGTAAAACCCTTACAACATCCTGAACACGCTGCATAAAGGAGATGCGATGGAGAGGACAGCAGGAAGAAGGATGGAGATTGATGAACAGAGAGACAGAGCAGCACAAAGAGTGTGTAATGTTCAGGGAAGACTACAGTCAGGCTGATAGAAAGGAATGTCATGTGCGGAATTGTCAAATGATAAGTGTGTTGTCAAACAACTGTCTCGTGACCAGACCTGGAGTTGTAGGGAGGGCAGGGTCTTATTGATATGGTCAGTGAACTACTGTTTACATCAATGTTTCTTGTGGCTGAAAGGGATAGATTTCTGCTCCCGGTCCTGGCAAATCAATGAACCAGGTCTCGTTCTTCCTGGTCACTGCTTATTTCAGGAAACACTGCCCCAGGGCTCCTTTCACAAGTGCAGTGAGAAAGTGCAAATGAAGGTGTAAATTTTTCATCATTCCTCTCTCCATGTCCTCCAGACTGTCTTCGTGTGAAAAACCTCTTAGTTGAACAGAAAACACTCCATTACCACATGAAATATAACACAGTCTTGTATTGTGTGATATTCAAAACGTGTTTCTTTTCGCTAATTCAACACCAAAAAACGGATTAACATTTTTTTAAATTTTGTTATGTGCTACCTGTTTTAGGCGAACTTATATGCTAGCACATCTTAGCTAAAACTTGTCCAAATATTAGATTCACTAGAATTATATAAAAACAAGTTTTTTTAGGCCACATTACTACATTTCATGCCACATTTTAACTGTACTTAGTTATACTATTTTTCATTTAATTGGCTAAATATGTAAACGCCGTAACCTTTTTTTTTACCAATTTTGAAAATGGTATTTGTTCTACCTGTTGTTTCCTATGTGTTATCAAAGTCACGACAAACTGCTGAAGCAAAATTAGTTCATATAAATCTGTAGAACATCTGAAATCTGTAAGAAACCAGAAAGTGTACATTCACCTAATTCTAATCAGCCAACCCCCCCCCACACACACACACACAAACAACAGACATGGTTGATTTAGGGGGGAATATTTTGTCTTTATTGTGTACACACTTGCACCAGGTGCGCTACAGGTGTGTGTGAGTGTGTGTGTGTGTGTGTGTAAATGTGTGTGTTTGGTAGTGGCAGGAAACAGATGTGCAGTGATATCAAGGGCTGCACAGTGATTATCAGCACAGACCAGCCTGTCGTCTTACTGCCTCGCTCCACTTCCTGTGGGCTTAAATCATGCAAGCCCATGATAAGGAGAGGAGAGTGCTATTTAAACAGTGCTGGACTTTTTAAGAACAATCTGTGTCTACCTGATTATAATGTTCAGTGATCAATGGAAGATAAAATAACAACAGTCTCAGCCATTTGTTGTGCTTGTACATGGAAAAAAAAACTTTTAAAAAAGTTATTGTCTTCTAATTAAGATAACTGTTTTCACTTATCTTTCCACAGTCCATGTCCAGAGCAAGGAATGGGGGACGAATTTAACCTCATGGACCATTCTGACCTGTATATATTAGACTTCAGTAAGTATTTATGTTGATTTAACACAGACATTTTGTGTGTTAACATATTTATCCACCCATTCTTTTGGGAGAAATAACTGATGGTTTATTTTTAATATGATTAGTATTAGTAGTATTTGTATTAATAATAACAATAATAATTTATTGATGTTGCTGTTTGTTATTATTATCATTACTTGTATTTATTTTCCTATCATAAATCCTATCAATCTTTGACCCTTAGATTTATCAAGCCATTGCATGTACACCCCATCATGGATGCAGGCTTTTCATTTTTCATTTACAGCTTTGTCATATGAAATCCATAGCAATTTTATATACATCCATCTTGAGCAAGTGAGCTCTCTTCTTTTTCACCTGATATTGTGAGCTTGGCTCCAGCCCTGCTCTGTGTTGTGTAACATGAGAATCTTCCGTCTCTTACCAAATTAAGGCATAGCCTCTCTGTACTGGACCCCACTGTGAAGCAGTCGGGTCACAGTTAGGTTTTGTGTGGGATGGCTTCCATTGGTAAGTCCTGTTGCCGTCCCATGTGGCAAAGGCCCGACGTGCCTATCACGTGTGGCAATAAATTGTTTATCTCCGACCATATGGTGGAGTGACCATGACCGTTAGAGGAAATGACACAAAGTTTGTGAATAATAACAATAAGGAAGTCTATTATTGGGACGACTTCACTCACCTGTGTCGTCACTCTCTGAACACCCTGATATAGAATTCAGTTGTTTTGATTTTCAGTGGCATTAGGGAAAAATGCAGCTTTAATCTCAGTGATTTCTCTGGCAATCCTGAAACTTTCTTTTCTTTCCCTTCTTTTTCAGGCCCTAATTTGAAGATGTTATGCAAAATAGCTGTGATTCAGCACAGTCTGGATCAGTCAGGACTCCCACATGATATCAGGTCAGACAAGCTCACACATTTGAGCATCAAATATTCATTATATACACAATTTGCTTTTTATTGTTATTCTGATTGCACTGAGCTGGGTATTACTAATTATTCATTCTTTAGCCACTGCCTGTTCAAAATTAAAAGTAGAGAAAGTAGTATTTTGTTACATAATCAACAAATAAATGCTTGGTCTTTTTTGCAACAATATGTCTTTGTTGCTTGACTGATTAATAGTGTAAAGTTATGAAGACAATTAAAAAAGTAATTTTAAAGACTGCCAATTTATTACTTCTTTGGCCTCTGCTTACACCAAGTTCCATTAAGGCAGTGTTGAACCTCCCAACCCCCACCAAAGATATTTTTTCAAAGCTTCACTGAACTTGATGTTAAACAATTTATTCTTACAAAAGAGATATTCTTACAAATCCTGCAATGATTTATTGCAATAATTTATCCAAAAAATGTAACAATGAAACCAGGAATTAGATGAAAGAGCAAGTTGTCTCCATCTGTTTTTGTTACACTTATTATCAGTAAAGTTGTTCAAGGAATTAAGTCACCAAGAAGCATTATATTAATTGACTAATCTTTGCAGTATTAACTTTATTATTATTTTGTGGTTTAACTCACCTGTCATGGGGATTACAGGTGGGATGTAGTTAATATTACCAGGTAAAAAGCATTGGTTTTGATTTAAAACAAGGTCCAAGCTGCAACCGTTGTTGTCTCTACAGTTCATTAAGTATTTAATATAATTATGGGCAATATGACTTTGAAACAGTTTGTTTTTTTAGACCTTTAATATCACTAATTAAACCAGATGCTGATTTTGCTCACTGGAGACATTTCTCCTAAATAAAGTTTTCTTCCTCAGGGAACTTGATACTAATTACCCCTCTTAGCCACTCATTTCTCTTGCACCATCACTGCCACCTTGCAAACTCCTCACTTCAGTGTTTCTAACCCTTAGAGGGCTTTTTACTGGGGGTCACAGGACTCTCGTCTGTCTGCCCCTCACTGGCATCTCCAGCTTCAATGCCAATCTCCCCTCTTAAACACACACGCGCACAATAAAAAAGAAAACGAACAAAGCAATTGAGAGGGAATGAGTGTGAAACCAGAGCCAGAGATAACAATCTGCAGCTCAACCTCTGACCTGTCATCAGGTCAGCACTAGACCCTGTTGTCAGCCCCTGCTCCTGGTTCTCGTATTACAGCGGGGCGTCCTCTCATCCTTAACCACATCCTACGCCTCAACACAGGGTGAAAGTAAACCTTACACTGACTTGACTGACAGGGAAACAGATTGTTGGTAACAGATCTTAAACTGTTGACCGCATTAACATCCATCTGTCTGTGTAGGTACAGTTTTGTTCACACTGAGAGCTACAGTTTTCTGGAGTTTTATTTATATTTTCAGCCGCTTGATTTATTTATTTATTTTTTCCTTCTCACCAGGTGGGAATTGGCAGCCATGACCACCAACAGCAACATCAGCAGGCCAATCTTCTCCTCCCACGGCTGATTGTACCGACCCCGCCGGAACCTCTGTTTCTAGATACGGGGCTTTCTAATCAACTCTGACTGGGACTGTTCTCAAACCTCATTTTAAAACTTTGGATCTTTTTCCACCCCTCCTGAAATTAATCTAAACAAACTATACAAAAAAACCCTGCCTATGACTTCCCAGGACGCCACGACCTTTCTGACATCCTGTGGAATTTAAAATCCTACTGACACTAAATCTGTGAGGTTTCTCTTCTTTTTAGCCTCTTTACAAGTCCAATCAGCCTATGATAATCATAGAGGGAAACTCTTAAGCACAGAGAGAGACATGAACATTAGCCAAAGGTCTTGAGAGACGGCCTCTCGGTGGAGAATGCTGCACTCAACAGAGCTCTCTGGAGAAAATCAAATGTGAACCTTCTGAGAGAATGAGGTGACGAAGTTTGAAAAAAAAAAAAAAAGATATTCTAAAAAAAGGTTGAGACACTGGGTATAATGTGAAAAATACAAAATCAATTCTTCTTTCTGATCCATAATACAATACCAGACATTTAAGTTCAGCTTAATGTCCAAGAGAGTGGCACTGAACCCTGATGAATTACCATTTATTTACAGAGGACAGTAAATTTTGAAGGTTTGAAAATAATTATTTTTCTTTTTGCATTTAATACAAGAGTTTATAAAAGATCAGTCAGTGCTGCAGATGATTGCAGCCTGTATGGTGTTATTTTAATAATTTATTTATTTTAATGTTTCACTTCTCATCAAATAACTTCAAACAATATTCCTGTTGATAATTGGTCTTCCCATCCAAAAGGTTATAGTAAATATTGATCCATGTTTCTCTTGCCTATGTTAATAATCCCTATCCTAATCCCGAAACTTGTTTTATGGTGAAAGTAGAATTTGTTTTTGAAAATACCAACTTTGAAATTGTGACGATGGCTTGTAGAGTGCCTCAAGAACTAAACTTTTGTGAACACTATTTATCAGTCTGCAGTCCCTTACAATCTGTTTGTAGTTGTGTCAGCCACAGACTGACTCACTGCCCCACACCTGGTAAGACTAGCACCTGCAGTTAAAGCCTCCACAAATGGTATTTTAAGCTTGAAGTGCTTTGGTGAAACAAAAACTCTTTGCTGCAGTGTATTTGAATGACAGTTCATTTTGACAGCCCTGATTTCATAGTGTTTACATTACTGTAGCTTTCATAACCATCTTGCCTTGTATTAAATGAGATATGGGTCAGAAAGGATTTAGAAGTTTCCATTGCCAAGTGTCTCATCCTGTTTAAATTGTGGTTTCATATCTTGAAGTTCTACCTTGTTCTTATAACAATGTTTAATTACCATATCTATGTATGGTAGGCCTTTATACTGAATATCTAACCATACCACAGTGGTGTGACATGCAGGAGGAGAGTCGTTGATACTGCAGTATTGGGATGATGTTACTTTTGTGGACAGTTGTCTTTTGGTTTGATTGTTTGATTGATGTTGGTTCGATTATTCACTTGCTCGTCTCTCTCATATTTTAAGTGTCTCAAGTCCAAGGTTGAGCTCAGTCCTGTACAACAGTCAGGTCTGTCTACCTCCCTCAACACATGACCAGGATCATTGAGTTTATCATAGTTTCTGACACTTGAAAACATTTTTCCCTCAGAAAAAAAAGTCAGTTTTTCTGGATTTCTTCTTTTACTTGTGACACTTTTCTATTCAGTGCCAAATGTTAAAAGAAGTCATGATGATAATATATTGAGTTGTGTGAGTTTCCACTTGCTTCATTCTGCCTGATGTGTTCAGGGAACTCAACGAATATATATATGCATAGTGTAACTGTTCCTCTTATAGACAATCCTGCAGAGTCAGAACACTTTCTCTATAAGAACCCGCGTCTTTGGAGTAAAGACAGAGAGGAAAGTGTGATTTTGTGATTACATCTATGTCAATAGCAGAGAAATGGCCAGTGTTGTAGATGCATAAGGGCTGTAGAATTCCTCAAACTCAGAAGAGATCAATATAATAATATCAATAAGGGCAAGATTGATGATATTTGATATTTTTACTCCTGTCAGCCGACAGTTTTATTTTAACATTAAAGCAAAGCTATTGAGGTTGGCTTTTAAATACTTCTTCCCCTTACATTAGAGGAGGATTATAAGAAAACATATGATAAATCTCTTCTTTTTCACAGCCAACTTTTAAGGCAATCAATTTTACTTGAATGATCATTTACGATCATAGTGTAATTTTTTTTAGAAAGAAATCCAACATTTAAGTCTATAAAAACGTCCCTGTGACAGATGTTCAGTGACATTTTGTCTTTAAGTGAAGGAGAAACCTCTGTTTTATCCAGTCATTTAGGGTCCAGAGCCCCCACTTTTAGAGACCTGGCATCGACTCTTATAAATAATATTATGGTAATAAGATCTGAAGGATGAAAGTGTCTTCTTATTTAAACCATTGAACTTTATAGGTAAGTGGCTGTGACTTAGCACAAAGCCCAAAAAAATAAGAAGAATAAAAAAAATCAATCCTATGAAGAGGAGCTGTGTTACCACACACTTGTGAGCTGCATCAGTGTTGTTCGGTTCTTGTCTTCAGGCCGGACCGTTCAATCAAATCCTGATTTCCTCTGATTGGTTGACTTGTTTCCCCGACACGAGGGCTCGAAAATGCTGACCTACAGTCCCAACATTTTTTTGTTTATAACTCTGTCATTTCTTTCTGTAAAGTCGTGTAAAATGATCTCACATGCAGCTTGAAGTGGTCGGCTGTAACTGCACTAAAGCCAAACGTGGCACTTCAGGCCTTACACAGAGGAGACGCGTGCTGATGCTGCTTTTTGCCCAAGTGGACTCTGAGTGGACTCCACGCAGTTTGAGTCGTTCACCTGCTTGAACCGAGTCGGAGCGTTACGCACAGACTGGTGGTGCCAATATGACACAGTAAAACACAGGGAATATTGCACATTTATGAAAGGAATAACGAAAAAAAAAACTTCTGGTGAACAAACTATACTGACAGTGAAGCGCTGTCGGCAGAACTGATGTGTTTGTTTTTTGATGTGTGGTGTGGGAGTTGTTTTTATTTCAGGATTTTGTTCTTTGCTTGAAAATAACAGGTGGTGGTATTTGAAATGAATTTTCAGGGGTATGACCTTGAGGAATATACGTTGTAGACACTATGGTTTAAAAAAAAAATTAAATACCTGCATAAAAACAATCTTTGATTACCGCCAGTCGTTGAATTTTACGTTTAGAAGAAAACATTTTTCACTTTGTATTCACAGTCTCTGAGCCTCTCTCTTGCTTATATCACTTCATAAAAGATAATAATAAAACCTTTTACAAGTAGTGCAGTAAAATCCCACCATGTTGGCTCTGGCATTACCAATTTAAATATTTTTGTTTGTGGTGCAGGTTGGTAACGATGCTTTTCAGAAACAGCGGTGTTTGCCAAGCAGAAGTCTGTGACTCCACTCATGCCAAGAAATGTCTGCTCTCTTTTCTTTGTGCTCATTTTTTCACTTTGACTTCATATTACAACCGTTTAAGATCAAGCTCTATAGTCCATTAAGCTTGGGTCAGGACTTCCTGTGCAATAACTGGTGTCAATAAAAGAACGTTTGAGTTGTCCACGTTTATACGTGTGGTTCATGCGTCTCGTCCCACTTCCAGGAGTTGTGCTTGTGATGTATTTCTGATGCATTTGTTGTGACAGAGACCGTTGTTAATTCAAAGTTTGTTTTTCTGCAGCCATTTCTGTTTTTTTAAAGAGTGTCATCACTAAAAGGATTACTTTTAAAATGCTGCTGAGAAACTTAAACGACTGCATCAGATTCAGTCTAACTTGCAACCCTAACAGAAGTTAAATCTGGGAGGATTTTAAGGTCCATAAAAGTCTCATTAGAGAAGCAGAGTGTAAAATACATGGTTCACCTTGACTTGTCCAGCTAGGACTCTGTACCAAACGGCTCCAGTGTCTCTGGTCGTTTTTGAGTCTTCAGTGTTTGTCTTTTCCAAACCAGACATCAGGTGTGTGTGTGTGTGTGTCGCTAATATTACTACCTTAATTAGGATGATATTTTAATCTTGAGGTGTTTTGGTGAAGCCTGCAGTATCTGTTAAATGTATTAGAGCAATAATAAGTTGATGGACGGTGGAATTTCTCTGCACGTCTTCTTGTGTTAAAACGTATTCAAAGGTTAAATTGGATTATTTTCACGAATGAATTATCACATTTAATGTGTTACTTTTCATCGCTGGTAAAACTCATCTGTTTCATCTGTAATCTGGCGTCACATAAAAGCAGGATTGTTTTTACATTTTGGAAACAGAACATCCTATAAACTGCTTAACGATTGTTGCGTTGTCCTAGACTAAACAGACAAAGAAACACATGATGCCCACCACGGGGTGACGTCCAGATCTTATCTGTGTCCTCACTGTAGTCAAGCTACTGTATTCACTTCATAAAAACGTCCAGACC